GAATCCTTTAGGATGCTGGCTGGATCCTCTCCTTGTGCAACCTCATTCTATTATAAAGAAGAAATCTACCATTTTTACTCTTAACACCGTAAAGACCTACCACCCAAGTGACTTTTCCTATAGATAACACTTTTCACTTTCTTGGTCATTTTGCCATTACAAGAAAAGTGTTTCTTTGAAACATCCTAAATTGCTGTAACTAAAGTAACAGTTGTGTGTCACTCTTTCCGGGGTTTCTGGGCAACAAAATTAAGCTCCACTGGGATTGCTACATTATATATTCTTGCTCCTCACCGCACACTGGTAGCACGTGATCTGCGCCACGCGGGTAGCACGCCGCCGCCACTACAGCAGAGAAAACAAGACTCGGCGCTACCAGGTCGGATCCGGTGAGGCAAGAGGCGCCGAGGCCCCAGACTTTGCTCACCGCGGATAGTCATCCCCGACAGTTCAGAACAATGGGCCTCGTAGACATTGGGCCGGCCGACCCCAAGACTCCACTCGGATACCGAAGCAAGACACGGCCTGAGGCCTTGCCACCCCAGCCTACCATACCAATCCAGGACTTACAGCGCCTGTCGCTTTGGCGAACTTATTTGCCACCTCCGAAAGCTGGTTATCGCGCAGAAAGCCGAGTACAAGGGGATAAAGATCGCTGGGAACCACGCGGCGCAAACCGGCGTCCGCCATGCTCCCGGCAACACGCGTCACTACCGTCGCGGACGCAGCACGACTCAGGAAGTCAGTCGCATTCACGTAGCGGAAGGGGCGGGTCTTCACGCGGCCTTCCGATCTCGTGCTGTTAACAGGGTCTGAGCGGAGCCGGCAAGCTCTTTCCGGTCTCATGCGGGTTGCCATATAGGCAAGGGCGGAGCCCACCGGCCGCCACTTTGCGGAGGCGGAGCGCTGACGTCAATCGCCACGCCCCCGCCGTGGCGGGAAAACTTGCGACTTCCCCGCGCGTCTTTGTTACAAACACGTTTTTTTGGTGCTGGTACAGTGGTTTATAATCAGGGCCTGTGCGCTGCCCTTGAGCTCTTCTGCCCAAGGCAGTGCTCTACCATTTTGAGCCATAGCTCCACTTTTGCTTTTTTCTCGTTAACTGGAGTATCTAGATCACGGACTTTTCCTGCCTGGGCTGGCTTCGAATATTGATCCTCAGCTTTCAGCCTGAGTAGCTAGGATTATAGGCATGACACCTGGCTCATAAAGTTTTTTTTTTTTTTGGGGGGGGGGTCCGGTCGTGGGGCCTGAACTCTGGGCCTGGGCGCTGTCCCTCAGCTCTTCAGCTCAAGGCTAGCGCTCTACCACTTGAGCCACAGCGCCACTTCCGGCTTTTTTCTTTTTGCTTATGTGGTGCTGAGGAATCGAACCCAGGGCCTCGAGCATGCAAGGCAAGCGCTCTACCATTGAGCCACCTTCCCAGCCCAGCTTAGAAAGTTTTTGCACAGTAGCAACTTGCTATATCCCAGCTGATTAGGATTCCAGAATAAATAAGTACTGGGTGGAGGGTGTCCAGCCATATTGTCACCTCTTGTGGCCTCAATGAGGTCTGACTGCGTACATTTACACGCTGCTGGCTTCCTTCCCACCTTTCCTCTATATTCACTCCAACATAGGGAGACTTTCTCCAATACTATCCCAGCTTCCAGACTCCCACTTTTACTACAGTGGATACTAAAGTTGCCACCTGTCAAGGAGGGAGGGTGCTGACTAAGGTGCCCCCACCACCAAATGAGGGCATTCACTGGCAAGTCCTGCCTCTTGTCTGGCCACAGTCCCTCTTGATGCAGGGAACTTACTATCCCCTGAGCCCTCACCCTTGGGAGAGGAGTGCTTCACCCCAGAGCTTAGTAGCCAGTAAGTCTGCAGGTTCTCAAGCGTACTCCAATTAATATCATCCATCATTTTGTAAATCTATTTTCTAGTAACTTCTCATTTGTACTGCCAACACATACTGTAAGGATTGGACAAGTATTAAGGTCAGAACCTCTTTGTAGAAACTCCAGGTTTTTTTTTTTTTTGCCAGCCATGGGCCTTGAACTCTGGGCCTGGGTACTGTCCCTCAGCTCTTCAGCTCAAGGCTAGCACTCTACCACTTGAGCCACAGCACCACTTCTGGCTTTTTTCTGCTTGTGTAGTGCTGAGGAATCGAACCCAGGGCCTCATGCATGCAAGGCAAGCACTCTACCACTGAGCCACCTTCCCAGCCCCTCCAGGTTAATTATTAAAGGAACTTCTCAGAAGTAGACTCAAGAGAAAATTAGGGACTTAGACAAGTGTGGTAAATAACAGTGAAACTCAGAAAGCACCAAGAAACCTGGAAAGTAGTTTGACTTTGGATGTACTAAGTTCAGAATGTTTTGGTAAATGTCAGCTAAACCAACCCTTATCGGGAATGAAACAAAGGGGGAGCCTGGAAATAAAACTTTTGCCTTGTGATCACTGCTAGTTTTGCTTCTGTAAACCTGCTTGCTATCTTATCATATACACTGCCACCTGTGTGTGGCTTGCCCCTTTAAAACCCACCCACAATGGGGCTGGGAAGGTGGCTCAGTAGTAGAGCGCTTGCCTTGCATGCCTGAGGCCCTGAGTTCGATTCCTCAGCACCACATAAGCAAAAAGAAAAAAGCCGGAAGTGGCGCTGTGGCTCAAGTGGTAGAGCGCTAGCCTTGAGCTGAAGAGCTGAGGAACAGCGCTCAGGCCCCACGACCGGACCCCCAAAAAAACAAAAAACAAAAAACAAAAGTGTCTGCCACCAACCAGGTCCAGAATTCAAACCCTAGCATTAAAAAAAAATTAAAAGAGCCAGGCGCTGGTGGCTCACGCCTGTAATCCTAGCTACTCAGGAGGCTGAGATCTGAGGATCACGGTTCAAAGCCAGCCCGGACAGGAAAGACTGTGAGACTCCTATCTCCAATAACCACCAGAAAACCGGAAGTGGCGCTGTAGCTCAAGTGGTAGAGCACTCGCCTTGAGCTGAAGAGCTGAGGGACAGCACCCAGGCCCAGAGTTCAAGCCCCACAACCGACCCCCCCCCCCAAAAAAAAATTTAAAAAAAAATTAAAAGAAAGCATCTGCTGCATGACGAGTATTGTGTTCAAATTAAGCTTAATTCTAGCTACTCAGGAGGCTGAGATGCCAGTTTGAAGCCAGGCTAGAAGATCCTTGAACAACTCAGCATCAACCCTGTCTCAAAAACAAAGGGGCTAGGGGTTGGGAAGGTGGCTCAGTGTTAGAGTGCTTGCCTTGCATGCATGAGGCCCTGGGTTCGATTCCTCAGCACCACATAAGCAAAAAGAAAAAAGCCAGAAGTGGCACTGTGGCTCAAGTGGTAGAGCGCTAGCCTTGAGCTGAAGGACAGCTCCCAGGCCCAGAGTTCAGGCCCCACGACCAGACCAAAAAAAACAAACAAAAAAAAAACAAAACAAAGGGGCTAGAGATTAACTCAATAAGAGTGTCTATCCAGAATGAATGCCTAAATCCTAGATTCCTTCAATCCCCAATACTAACTAACAAAACAAGAAATCTCCAAGCTGGGTGCCAGGGGTTCATGTTAGCTATTCAAGAGGCTAAATTCGCCGGGCGCTGTGGCTCACGCCTGTAATCCTAGCTACTCAGGAGGCTGAGATCTGAGGATCGCGGTTCAAAGCAGCCCGGGCAGGAGAGGCCGTGAGACTCCCATCTCCAATAAACCACCAGAAAACTGGAAGTGGCGCTGTAGCTTAAGTGGTAGAGCGCTCGCCTTGAGCTGAAGAGCTGAGGGACAGTGCCCAGGCCAAGAGTTCAAGCCCCACGACCGACAAAAAAAAATAATAAAATAAAAAAAAAAAAGAGGCTGAACTCGCCGGGCGCTGGCGGCTCATGCCTGTAATCCTAGCTACTCAGGAGGGTAAGATCTGAGGATCACGATTCAAAGCCAGCCCGTGCAGGAGAGACCATGAGACTCATCTCCAATAAACCACCAGAAAACCGGAAGTGGCACTGTAGCTCAAGTGGTAGAGCGTTTGCCTTGAGCTGAAGAGCTGGGGACAGTGCCCAGGCCCAGAGTTCAAGCCCCACGACCGACCAAAAAAAAAAAAAAAAAACAAAAGAGGCTGAACTCTAAAGATCAAGGTTCAAAGCTAGCCCAGACAAATTAAGTCAGAAAGACTTTTACTTCCAATTAATCAGCAAGCCAGAAAAAAATGGCTCAAATGGTAGGGCCTCAGCTATGAGCAAAAATAGTTGACCAGGCACCGGTGGCTCACACCGGTAATCCTAACTACTCAGGAGGCTCAAACCTGAAGATCGCAGTTCTAAGACAGCCCAGGCAGGAAAGTCCTAAGACTCTTATCTCCAATTAACCACCAGAAAACCAAAGTGGTGCTGTGGCTCATGTGGTACAGCGCTAGCCTTGAGTGAAGAGCTCGGGGACAGCATCCAGCCCAGAGTTCAAACCCCACAACCAACCCCTTCCCCCCCCAAAAAAAGCTAAGCAAGGCCCTGAGTTCAAGCTCCAGTGGGCACAATAAATAAGAAGGGAGGGGAGATAGAGGCGAGAGGAGAGGAGAGAGGTAGGGAGGGAAGAGGATGATGGAGCTGTGGAGAGGGAGAAGAGAGAGGGGGAGGAGATGAGAGAGACATACATACATACACAGACACCCCTAAACAACTACAACTAAAATGTCTTCAAGTCTGAGCAGCACTATACTAAGTTGACTTATTTCAGACAATGTACCTGAGGAACCAACTTTTAAATCCAGTAGGATTTTGGACCTAATTAGAAGCACTAGAAGCCTAATAGAAGTAGGCATGTACGTGGATTGTGTTCATAGAATAGTGAATACGTTTGGCGCGAGCACTACAAAAAAGAAGTACAATAACACGAGTTCTCTCTAGTTCATATTTATTAGTCTGCATAGTGACTTAGATGTTCCCTCAGCCCCAACCATCATAGGAATGCAATTGAACTTGTTTCAATACCTATTATAAAAAAAAACAAATACCCTTTAAAAAAATCTGATTTAACACATTTTTTATTTCACTTTTTTTCCATTTCTTATAAAAGTCATCTCCTCGCTAGCAGCTCTCTCCCCTAGAGTAGGGGAGGGGGGGATGGAAGAGGTTGGACACCTCCAAAGAAAGGGGGTGGGTAGTTTGAGAGGGCCCAGGGTTACCTCCGGAGGTTCTTCTGGGCCTGTTTCAACAATGTGTCAAAGTCAAGAGAATCAAATTTGCTCTTTACAGGAGCAGGGTCAAAATCTTCCCGGTTGGAGTCTACAAAGGTAGAGAGGGACAAAAAAAAACCATCAAGGTCTCTGAAAACATATCCCCACTAATAGTGTTCTCAAAAAGCCAGTCATCTCCCATCCAAACAATGGGTAGAGCTAAATTATCCTGATTTAAGTTAAAAGTGATATGGAAGAGCCCACATTTCCTCTTATCCCACCCCTTAGGGTTCTTTGCACCTCAGATGAAAAGTCTGCCTAGCCCCACTGTCAAAGAGGAACTCTTCTTAGGAGAAAAGTATACCCAAGCCTCAGGTCCTCCTCCATTCACTCACCAAGATCAGAATAACTCCTCTTGCAGAACTGTCTGCGGCCACCAAAGCAAAGATCAAAAGGTTGCTCATCAGCCTGCCGCAACTTGTGGCCACTCTCAATAGCTGCAAATGCCTCCTCAGCATAGCGGTAAGTGACGAAGCCATAGTTGTCACTGGTAGGAAAGGTGAGCCATTTGGGTACAAGTCATGGAGAAAACACCCCGGGGAACAGAAGTGGTTCCTCTTAACTCTAATGGCCAACCCTGATTGTAGAAATGAAGTTGCCCCACATTGCTCAGCACAGTAGAGTAAGGATGGAAAAAAAAAAAAAAAAAAAAAGGTAGGTGAGTGGCACCAATAGATCAGCCATCCTGACCTTGGGACTGAAGCTTACCCTTGGACACGGAAGTGGATGGTACACTCCTCAATCTCTCCAAAAACAGAAAACCTCTGCTTCAGCTCTGACCTAGTCATGCGGCCAGGTATCTTCCCAATGAAGACCACCCTTCTTTCTTCCTATGTTGGATATTAAAGAAAAGTGATGCTTGTAAGCCAAGGGCTGCAAGTGAAAATGACTCTCAGTTTGTGGATCAGGGTAAGCCCCTCCTCCTATAACCTGTTCTTCTACTCACTATTGCCCGCTCCTTCTGCAGAACTCTCTGCCTTTGGTAATGGTCATGTGAACGATAAGCACTGTACCTGACAAGAGAGATATGTAATCAATCCCCTAGACACAACGTGACTCAGAACTGTCAGGTATTTGCATCCCAGATGCACAGCCTCTGGAATGTTCATGCTCACCACCGTCTCCTGTCACTTCTCCGGCGAGGGGATGGGGAGCGAGATCGGCTTCGGGAACTGGATGAGGAAGAGGAGGAAGAGGAGGAAGAAGAAGAAGAGCATCTTCTAGAACGTCCAGAAGAACTGCAGCTAGACCTAGAGAATTAAAAGGCATGTGAGTATGGTAAGAGTAGTGCATATATACACTCCTTACCTTACCCAGGCCCAACGCAGCCATTGCTACCCCATCAGGAAGCTCAGAACCAAAGCAGAGAAGAGCTCCAAAACATTTTCACATATAAACAAACAGGTCTTTTGTAGGTCTTTAGATAGATATGGAATGCTTTGGAGTGTTTTGGCTGACATTTTTCAAATGTACCACTAAAAACTTAGATAGCTACATGGTGGTACTCACCTGTAATCCTAGCACTAGGGAGGCTAAAGCAGGAAGAGCAAAAGTTCCAGACTACTGGACTACAAGTCAACACACACACACACACACACACACACACACACACACACACACACACACGAAAAGGAAAATAAGCAGAGGGAGGGAAATAATTAAAAACACTTAACAAACCAGAAAATAGAAAAGTAAATGGAAATAAAGGGTTGGACCTTAGTTCTACAACCAGTTTCTTTTCTTTATTTTGTTTCCATTCCAATCCTGGGGCTTGAACTCAGAGCCTGGGTACTAGCCTTGAGCTGTGGAGCCACAGCTCTACTTCCAGTTTTTTGGTGCTTAATTGGAGCTAAGGAGTCTCATGGACTTTGGTTGCCCAAGTTGGCTTCAAACCTTGATCCTCAGATCTCAGCCTCCTGAGTAGCTAGGATTACAGGTATGTTCATACTGGTGCTCAGGTTTAGTTTCTATGGTGCTGGGTTTCTAGTTACAACTGCTCTATTTCTGTGACTATGGCACAAAGGGAGGTGATCGTGACAGATCCATAGCCAAGAAGCCATTTCTGAGCTTGGCATCACTGCCAAAACACTTGATAACCTTGCTAAATAAATGGGAAAACAGGTTTCTGAGAAAACAAAAAACATACTACCAGGAAACAGATGAGGCCCCAAAGAACTGCCCAGATACTTTAATCAAGATGATTAACGGAAGAACTGTTCAACCAACCACCAAGAAAATATCACATATGATGACTGGAAACAGTATACGAAGAAAGCAACAGAATCCAGATCAAACTGTAACAGTCTCCCTAAGGCCCAGCTATGGAAGCAGACCTTAGGAATACTCCAAATTCTAACAGGGAATAGTCTCATAATTCGCCTCCTTCAAAGTCCACAGAAGGGGAAGAGGCAAAAGTCAAAGAAACAAAACCTTAGTACATCAAAATACTCATCAATGTGCAAGTTTTTGTTCCTTTTCTTGTTGAGGCTTTCTTGTTTTGGTATGTGGAAAAGCTTACAAAATAAAGCACAGAATAAAATATATAAACTTCCTAAATGGGAGGATCTAACAAGCCATCATAGCTCACCTTCGCCACCTCTTGTGGGGGGGGGACAGGGACCTGGACCGGGACCGGGACCGGGATGAGGAAGACGCCGATGAGGATGAGGAAGATGCTTCGCTGGTCAGGTTGGACCCAGAGCTGACAGAACGGCTGCTGCAGCCACGACGGCCCTGCCAGCCACAGCTTGGGGGACTGGCTGACCTGCAGGCTTTTCGGTAACAGCGCACTGACCGCTGCTTGGCTGAGGGCTCAGGGGGAATTCTAGTGTTCATTTCATTCCGGCAGGGTGAGGCCTCAGGAGACAGCAAGGCAGATGGGTCAAGGCAAGATGCCGAGGGATCTGCCTGCTCATTGCTAGTCCTGTGATCAAGTGGTTCCTGGGAGGCAGTTGTGCTTGGGAAGGGAGTGGCTGGGCCCAGGGACAGAACAGGTTTGATAGTGATGTCCTGATGGCGTTTGACGTTCCATCGGGAGCCCACCTCTGGAATGACTAGGGCAGGCATCTTTTTGGGAGGTGTCCTGCTTCGGACACAATAGTCATGGTCCCCAGAGCCCACATGGACTGGACTAGGGCCATGGACCCCTTCTTGCAGGCAGGCTACAGCTGGATGTTTGGCCTCTGTAACTCCTTCAGGCTTCGGGGTTCCCTCCTGGGCGGTGGACTTAGGAGATTTGGCTTTGGCCAGCAGAGAGACAGCAGCCAGGGGCTTCCATAACTGGTGGGGAGGGGTAGCTGGAGGGGTGAGCCCTGTTGAGGGGGGAGGCAGGATGGAGATAGCAGGGTGAGATCCAATTCTGTACTTCTAAATACTGTGTATCTAGGCTCAGGAGACCTTCTCACAAAGTTCACCAGGCTTGGTCAACAGCCCACCTTCTCCCACTGTTTTAACTCTTATTTCTCCCTTGGTCCCAGCCTGAGGGCCAGCATAGAAATCCAACTAGCTAGGGACCTCCTAAACCCATTTTCCTGGCTACCTAATCCATTAGTGTCTAGATCCAATCTGGTCTACCATGCTGTGCATTCTGAGCCCCGCCCTCCTACTCAGTACTGTTTGCATCTTGCCTATTACACTCATGAAATGAACTTCTCTTCTAGCTTCACACCTCACCACCTTTACATTCCTGCTTGACAGCCCATACAAAAATTAACATGAAAAAGCTTTTCCAATTGCTTCTTCAATATACAAGTAAAATCCAAACAGCTTAACATGGCATTCAAGCTCCCCTAACTAGATATCCTCGTTACTTTAGCTTTGCCTTTTGTTTCAGTCTACCCACCACCTTCATCAGCCACTACACTCCAGCCAAACCAAGCTATTCACATGCCCAAAACATAGGATGGTTATTTCCTCAGTCCATTCAAGCTATACCATTCACCTAGAATGTCCTATCCCCTCAATCTACCACCTGATTGATATCAGGGATTTTTCTCAAAACTCAGATTAGAGAATAAACTTCAGATTTCACTGCAACACAGGCTTAACACTCACTTCTAATATTTAATAATATTCAACATGTCCCCTTGTTTTTACATCTGCTCCCTAGACTGTGAGCACCTCAAGGGTGGAGACTGATCTCTAGGCTCACTGTCTACACAGCACTTGCTGTACAAATAGCCAGAATTACCCAACCTGAACCCACCTGCCACGTTGGCCAGTTCAGGGGCTTGTAACCGGTCTAGGGGCCTCTTCTCCTGGGGAGTGTCAATGCTGCTGGTGGGGGGGAAAAGGGAGAGCCTGGTTCATTGCCTCATTATTGTGTGTACCTGCTTTCCTCACAAAGCAATGGGAGAAGGTTGTATGCTGAGAAATATGGAAGTCTAGAAGTGCCCCATCATCTCCCCCTAGCACAAAATAGCTTTAGTGACTGGGGTCTCAACTCAGCTCTGCTCACTAATGAGGTAAGCCGGTTTGACCAATACCCACCACCCTCCTTCAACTCAGGAGCTTTGCCTACCCACCTCCAACCAAACTGAAACCAACCAATGTAGACAAGAACATGCTTTTGGCACATGGGGGGAAGGGGGGGGAGGGAAGGGATGTTATACACAAAGAATGAAAAAGGCCTCTCATATTTTGAAGGCCAGGAAAAAAAGAGGCCCAAGATACCTGTGTCCTCTAAGGAGTCAGGAAAACCCTGAATCATTAAAATTTCCCCCTATTTTAAAGTCACCCTGTCACCAGCATTGAACAAGCTTAAAGTCTGCTAAAGGAGAAAAGAAATCCCTAAAGGTATGGTTTGACAAAAGGTCAAAGGCACCTCCACAGTATTTGGAATCTCTAACTGGAACCAGTTGGAGGGCAATACACACCCTCCCTCCTCATCACCCAGGGCACTACCTGACAGTGAGGGGAGGAACAGGGGATGGGAAAATAGGGAAAGACTCTAGAGGTAATGGAACATTCCTGAAATAGACGTATCTAGTTGACAGTCCTGGGAGCACCGGCTGGCTGCTGACCAATAGCTGTAGGGTAACTCACTCACATCTCCATACTTACCCTGAGTTTCCTACAGCCAAGCTGTCAGCAGGAGCTGGGAGCGGACACTCCTTTTTGGCTGCAAAAAAACCAAACTAGTTAAAAGCTCAACCAGATGTTCAAGACTAGGTGGCACAGAAAGGCTTGCTTTGAGATCCAAAGGAGGAAAATCTACTTTGCCTACATATTCCCTGTTGGACTGCCAAGAGAGATCCAGACTTCTGGGAGAAGCCAATTACCATGTTTAATATTGTCTCTTCTCAGAACATACTGAAATCTGAGATAGAGATAAACTTATAAGCCTAGTATTAAAACTTCTACATGACCTGCCTAGCTAAATAACTTCCTAGTTTCACAGCCCACTGTTTAACTTTTGTGGTGCTTGAGAATGAACCCAGGGCCTCGCACATATTAAGCATAGGCACTACCACTGAAATAGTCTTAACCCATAGCCTATTTTGTGCTCACTTATAGAGCATAGATACCTGATAAGAACTCAGGCTTCCTTTCTGCAGATTTATCTCAATTAACCCATAAACTCCTTAATAACAGGACACAGACTACATACAGCATCTACAGCTATGCCTTATTGGTTCTTTTTTGTTGTTGTTGGTCGTGGGGCCTGAACTCTAGGCCTGGGCGCTGTCCCTCAGCTCTTCAGCTCAAGGCTAGTGCTCTACCACTTGAGCCACAGCGCCACTTCTGGTTTCCTGATGGTTTATTGGAGGTAAGAGTCTCACGGACTTTCCTGCCCGGATTGGCTTTGATCCAGGATCCTCAGATCTCAGCCTCCAGAGTAGCTAGGATTATAGGCGTGAGCCACCGATGGCCCCGCATCTTATTGGTTCTTTTTGTGTGTGCCAGTACTGGGGCTTGAACTCATGGCCTTATACTCTTGCTTTTAGTGGTCTCGCATAGTTTTTTCTTTTTCTTTGGGAGGGGGGGTCAGTCACAGGGCTTGAACTCTGGGCCTGGGTGCTGTCCCTCAGCTCTTCAGCTTAAGGCTAATGCTCTACCACTTGAGCCACAGCGCCACTTCCAGCTTTTTCTGCTTATGTGGTACTGAGTAGAACCTAAGGCCTCATGCATGTGAGGCAAGCACTCTACCACTGAGCCACCTTCCCAGCCCCAGCTTTTTTTTTAATTGTAAAGGTGACGTACAGAGGGGTTAGTTACATACGTCGGGTAATAAGCACATTTTTCTTCTTTTTGAACAGTGTCACCCTTCTCATTTTCTCCTAGCTTTTTCCCTCCCAACCCCTCGAGCTCCCAACTCTCGCTTAGCTTTTTTTTTTGGTCAGCCGTGGGGCTTGAACTCTGGGCCTGGGCGCTGTCCCTCAGCTCTTCAGCTCAGGCGAGCGCTCTACCACTTGAGCTACAGCGCCACTTCTGGTTTTCTGGTGGTTTATTGGAGATAGGAGTCTCACGGTCTCTCCTGCCCGGGCTGGCTTTGAACCGCGATCCTCAGATGTCAGCCTCCTGAGCAGCTAGGATTACAGGCGTGAGCCACCCGCGCCCAGCTCTCGCTTAGCTTTTTCACTCACGTTTGGCACTCTACTACTTGAGCCACACCTCTACTTCTGGCTCTTTGGTGGTTAAGTGGTTGGAAAAGTCTCATGGACTTTCTTGCCTAGGTTGGTTTTGAAATAAGTTCCTCGATGTCAGCCTCCTGAGTAGCTAGGATTACAGGCAAGAGCCACCAGTCTCCAATCTATGCCTTATCTTGAGAAAACTAACCTACGTATTTGCCTTCCAAGTATATCATATACAATCATTTTTATATCTCCTCTCCTGTTGTTTACTACACTCTTTCTCTAAATCTTGTCTTTGAAGGCTCAGTTTGAGAAGCATTTCCCTCTTCAAAACTGTTCCTAGACAATCCCAACATAAATGTACCTCCTCACTGTCTTCTAGTATTTGGAAGATATAGCACCATTATCCTGAGTTTAATGTCACAGGTAAACCTTTTTTTTGGCAGTACTGGGATTTGAATTCAGGCCTTGAATTTGCTAAACAGGCCTACTTTAAGCCCATCACAGGTGAAGTTTTGTCTCTCAATACCAATCAGAGGTCTCCCCTGTACTACAACTAAAGCAACTACAAGGCTGATCTTAAAGGAAGTTATCAACAAAAGGAAGTAACAAAAAAGGGCAAAGAACTAATTCATGTAACTGATACTTGAGCTCAATCCATAGTACATTTTTTTTTTGCCAGTCTTGGGGCTTGAACTCAGGGCCTGGGCACTGTCCCTGAGCCTCTCTGTACTCAAGGGTAGTACTCTACCACTTGAGCCACAGCGCCACCTCTGGCTTTTTCTATGTATGTGGTACTGAGGAATCGAACTCAGGGCTTCATGCATGCTAGTCAAGCACTCTACCACTAAGGCACATTCCCAGCCCACTCCTTAGTAGTTAAAAAAAACAAAAAGCTATCCATGCATAGTGGTGGTTCATACCTTAGCTACTCAAGAGGCAGAGGAGAATGGAGAGTTCAAGAGAAGCCAGGCAAAGTTCCCTAAACTCTTATTTTTATTTTCCTCACTTTCCCTTATTTATCCTAGACTCTATGGGGGGGAGGAGGGGGGAAGAGGGGGAATGTGGCTTAGTGGTAAAGTGTTTGCCTCACATGCATGAAGCTCTGGGTTCTATTCCTCAGTGCCACGTAAACAGAAAAAGCCAGAAGTGGTGCTGTAGCTCAAGTGGTAGAAAGCCTTACGCAAAGAAGCCCAGGGACAGTGCCCAGGCCCTGAGTTCAAACCCTAGGACTAGCCAAAAAAAAGCCTAGCTACTCAGGAGGATATGAGGAACACAGTTCAAGACAACCCAGCAGGAAAGTCCATTAGACTCTTATCTGTAATTAATCACCCAAAAGCCCGAAGTGGAGCTGCAGCTCAAGTGATAGAATGCTAGTCTTAAGCAAAAAAGCTCAGGGACGGGGCTGGGAAGTTGGCTCAGTGGTAGTGCGCTTGCCTTGCATGCCTGAGGCCCTGGGTTCAATTCCTCAGTACCACATAAGCAAAAAGAAAAAAGCTGGAAGTGGTGCTGTGGCTCAAGTGGTAGAGTGCTAGCCTTGAGCTGAAGAGCTGAGGGACAGTGCCCAGGCCCAGAGTTCAGGCCCCACGACCGGACCCAAAAACAAAACAAAACAAAAAAAAGCTCAGGGACAGCACCTAGGTCCTTAGTTAAACCCCCAGTACTAGCCTAAAAATAAAGAATAAAAAAGAAAAACAGAGAGAGGGGGGAAGGAGGGAGGAGAGGGGAGGGGAGTCATAACTAAAGTATACAGCTATGTATGTGAGAAGCCTTGCTTTAATCCCAAATACTACCAAAAAAGTGTGAATGTGCTTTTCGGTAAATGAACCACCCAAGTTTTCTCACCTTCTGATTTCTCAAATTGCTCCAACAGACTGGACAGGTCTGATGCTTCAATTCCTATAGAAGTAAACAACAGAGCATTAAAAAGAGCATTAAAAAACAACCCTAAGGGGCTGGGAATGTGGCTTAGTAGTGATAAGAGTGTTTGCCTAGCATGAATGAAGCCCTGGATTCAACTCCTCAGTACCACGTACACAGAAAAATCAGAAGTGGGGCTGTGTCTCAAGTGGTAGAGTGCTAGCCTTCAGCAAAAGCAGCTCATGGACAGTGCCCAGGCTCTGAATTAAAAAAAAACAAAAACCCTAGGGCTGGGAAAGTGGCTCAGTGGTAGAGTGCTTGCCTTGCATGCATGATGCCCTGGGTTCGATTCCTCAGCACCACATAAGCAGAAAAAGCCACAAGTGGCACTGTGGCTCAAGTGGTAGAGTGCTAGCCTTGAGCTGAAGAGCTGAGGGACAGCGCCCAGGCCCAGAGCTCAGGCCCCATGACTGGCAAAAAAAAAAAACAAAAAAAACCCTAAACTGGGCACTGGTAGGTCACAGCTACTTGGGAGGCTGGGAGCTGAGGATCCTAGTTCAAAGCCAGCATGGGCAGAAAAGTCCCCGAGACTCTTATCTCCAATTAACCACCAGAAAACCAGAAGTGGAGCTGTGGCATGCAGTAATAAGAGCAATAATCTTGAGCAAAAAAAGCTCAAGGACAGTGCCCAGGCTCTGTGTGTGTGTGTGTGTGTGTGTGTGTGTGTGTGTGTGTGTGTGTGTGTGTGTGTGTGTGTGTGTGTGTGTGTGTGTGTGTGTACACATATAAACTGACTACAGAGAGAGAGAGAGAGAGAACACACATACAAAATGAGTACACAGGTCTCTGGAAGCCTCCAAATCACCAGTTTGCCTTTATATGCCCCTATGTGGTACATGTGCAGCACTTACAAAGCAGAAAGGAGGGCTGGGAATATGCTTAGTGGTGGAGCGCTTGCCTACCATTCATGAATGCATAAAGCCCTGGGTTCAATTCCTCAGTACCACATGAACAGAAAAAGACGAAGTGGCGCTGTGGCTCAAGTGGTAAAGCACTAGCCTTGAGCAGAGAGGCTCAGAGACAGAGCACAGGCCCCAAGTTCAAGCCTCAGGACCAGCCAAAAAAAAGCACAAAGGATTTAAACCCAAGCTCACCAATCTCACTGATGAAAGCCTGTACCACATCCTCAGGACCCTGGGCACATGGAGTAGGCAGGAAGGACAGCTTCTTTAGACGAGCTGGGTGGACAGCAGGCAATTTGGGGACAGTGTTGTGCCTTGTTATGGGAACAGCCTTGATAGCAGGAGAGGGGGGCTTCTCCTTGGGCCTGGTCTCCTGGGCCTCAGGCTTTAGCCTCTCTGATGTAGGTTCCTCAACAGCTACACCCTCAGCAGGCAGAGATGGAGTCTTGATCTGGGAGCTTTGCACCAGGGAGGATACCTGGTGTTTCAGAGGGGGAGATGCAGGCACTGGCTTGACCTCAACCATGGTGGGTTCTATTTGTGGAGCTATGGGATTGGTTGACTCAAGATTGAGGGGAGGAACCATCGGCACAGGAAGTACATTTTCAGAAGGGCTGGCTGGAATGCCACTGTGCTCTACCTTAGGTGGGGGAACAGCTCTCCCAACAGAGGCTGGGGGCAAAGGAGGTGGGGGAACAGCAGACCAGAATGGAGGGTGTTGTAGTCCTGGGCCCCATCCCATGGGCCCATAAGTACAGCTGGAGCCGTAAGGTGAGACTGGTGCAGGTGGAGGTACCCAAGGCACATTGCAAGTGGGGGGCACAGCATAGGCACCAGGAGCACCAGACACTAAGGGCACCGATGGTGGAGGAGGCAGGCAAGGATAACCAGAAGGGGACACAGGAGGGTAACAAGGCCAGGGTGGCACAGGGGCATAGTGAGTAAAGGGATCAGGTGGCATGGGTCTCATAGACACTGGAAGTGCAGGAGGCTGCAAGGGAGGTGGGGGCAGACTGGGGATCCCATGCCCACTTGAGGGAAGGGGCAGCATAGGGGGCATGCCCAGCCCACTAGGGGGGAAAGGCAAAGGAGTGGGCATTGTGGGAGGCATGGGCCCAACAGGAGACGCAGACTGCACAGGAAGGGGAGGTCTTGCTGGCAGTGGCATCTCTTGGGATGGCACCTGTTCAGTGGAAGTTGAGGCCATGGGTTTGCTTGCAGATGGCTCAGGACTAGGAGAAGAGCTGGGAGCCACGGGCACAAAGCAAACCTCTGGGGGAGCTTCAGGGCTTCTCTGAGGAGCTGTCTTCTTGGCTGGGGCTGGTGGAATAAGACAAGGGATGTCTGCCAGCCCTGTAGGGGTCTCTGGGAGGCTGGGCCACTTCCCAGCTGGGGGCTGGGAACTCTTCTCTTCTGCCTCTGCTTGTCGTTGTTGCCTTCGTCGCCGATACTCAGAAAGGCTGAGAGGCCGAGGTCTAGCTTCCTGGGTTGTGGTATTGCTAGTACTTTCTACCTTCACAGGACCTACAACCTCCTTGACTTCAGGGACAATGATCTTTGGAGGGTCTAAAGACTCTGAGTCTAGGAGATGGGAAGCTGAACTCCCTTGAATTGATGCTGCTGCACCTCGTCTGGGGTCAGTTGGTCTGGACTTAACTAGCACAGGGTCAACTGGTGGCAAGTTGTCTGAGATGGGAACAACCACTACAGGGTCAGCTGCTGTCTCCGATGAGTCAGCCAGGATTGGGCCAGTCAGCACTGGGTCAGCTGGGAGAGGGTCAACCAGCTCTGAACTGGCTGGTGCTGGATCACCAGCTACAGGATCAGTTACATTGGGATCAACTGCAGTGGGATTGGCTTCCGCAGAGTCAACTGGCATGGGGTCAGCTTGAACAGAGTCAACCAGGGAGCTATGGGTTGGCACAGGGCTAGGTTGATTAGGATCGACCACCTTGGAGCAAAGATCTGGAGAATCTTCTTGAGGAGGACTGCCTTGTCCAGCATTTCTCTCCAAGTTCTCAGAGCCAGGCTTCTCCAATGCCACTGCCCAGGCCCGAGCCCAAGCCCTTGGTTTCCCCCTGCCCTGGGGAGGCCCAGCTTTTCTCTGAAGTTCCTCCTGAGGCTGTTTCTGCAAGCCACTTGCCTGAGAGGTCACTTCTGTAGCTACTGTAGTCTGCCCACGGGAGGATGACCTCAGCCTTCTGGTATAACCTTCCATAGAGGCTGGTGGCTGCTCCTTGCTCTTCTTCTTCCTGCTCTTTCTGGGAACTCTCTGGGAACCCAGAACTGCCTTGACAGGTGGGTTTGAAGGCCCTTTGGGTATCATTGGCTCTATGACCTCCCTGGGCTCCAATACAGAGGCTGAGTCCAGCAAGAGCCCCTCTTTCTCAGGGCAAGTATCTAACTTGGGCACAGCAGCCTCTGTCTCTGACTCCAAAGTGGGCATGATCAGCTGCAAGGCAGGAGTAGCCTCCAGTGAGTCATCCAAGAGCACAGACTGGGGTCCAGCAGGGATCTGCCGAACTACAACTGGGATCTCCAGATCATCACCAGCTGTGGCTGCCTGGCCAACAATCTCAAGAACCACACAACCCTCCGGCAGTGTTAAATCATCTGGCTGCTCCTGAAGCTCATCCTCCAGTGATGCCAGGTGGGTGAAGTTGGGTAGGCAGTACGGGTGCATTGCCCGCACCAGCTCACTCAAGGAGGAGATGCTCTCATCACCAGGTACTGGCACTGCTGCCTTTACTGCTGTTGATTTCTCTTCCTCCTCAGGGCAGGCCAGGTGCATGGGAAAGTCTGTGGTACTGCTCACAGAACTATCAAGTTCCCTAGCAAGCACCTGGCCACTAATACTGGCGACCTCTTCTTCTTCCTCTCCATCACTGCGCTGTTGGGGAAGAGGGGACTGGCCCCAACGTGGTCTTGATCTTGCAGGTCTCCAGCTGGGCAGTTTAGGGGAAGAGGTCTCCAGGAAGGAAGGTGGGGAAAAGTCCCAAGAAGAGTCTGTAAGAGACATTTCAACCTGCAGGAGAGAAGACAAGAAAGACTCAGGAAGAATTTTCTATGGGAACTCTTTCCAGACCAGTCCTCACATACCCTCCCCCCACCTGTGAATTCCCTCAAGAGTCCCTGGGTCAGGCCTACCCCACTCACTCTACTACTGCCTGTGCCAGGTCCCAGTGAGTCAACTGGGGTGATAAGGTCACGTTCTGGGGGTGTCCGAGAGAGTGTGAGCAGCTTGTGCAACTAAGAGGGAAAGAGATCTGAAATCAATTTGTGCTTCAGAGATACATGAACAGGCCACAGATGTAGTTATAACCTTTGTGCCAGCCACATGTCCCTCCCCCTGGCCCCACACTCACAGAGGAGCCCTCCCGAGGTGACACAAGTAGCTCCGAATCAGGAATGCTGTCAAACGGAGACAGGTTCTCAGAATCTGCATTGTCCAAGATCTCCGTCAGAGCTGTGAGCAGTGACATTTCATTCTGGTCCTCCAGAGATAACCTGCTCTGTTCCAGAAAGACAACAGGAAGTTCCTACCAACATCTCTAATAATGTAAAGTGAACTAAGTTGCTGAGATGTTAAGAGAACCTACCTTCCAAGCTTCATTCAGCTTAATTTGCCAAAAAGAGGGATCAAAAAACCAGGAGGTAAGCCGGGCACTGGTGGCTCATGCCTGTAATTCTAGTTACTCAAGAGGCTGAGATCTCAGAATTACAGTTCAAAGCCAGCCAGGGCAGGAAAGTCCGTGAGACTCCAATAAACCACTCAGAAAACCGGAAGTGGTGCTGGGGCTCAAGTGACAGCACCCAGGCCCAGAGTTCAAGACCCACAACTGACACCCCCCCCCCAAAAAAAAGAGAGAGAGAAAAAAAAAAAAACAAATAGGAGACATGGGTTCCAATCTCATTTACCATCCACAAACTCTCCAGAGCTAACAGATCTTAAGCTTGGGTTTCACACACATTACCCAACTTCAGGTAAGATGTAAGATGCTAGGCAAACAATTCTTGACTAGAGTGGAATTTGGCTTAAAAACAGATCAGAACCCTCAGGACACATAGATCAAAGGCTTAGATAAGAGGAAAGGCCTTAGGGCACAGTCCTAGCTAGCCTAATGATTCATTACTTGGGCCATAATCTGGCAACTTGTAGCTAACTCCCATCTAGACACAATGAAAGATATATATACTTTAATCAGATCAGGCACCAAATCAAGGATCTTCCATAACAGAGCCATGCCTAAAACAACTCTAAGGTAAAGCCTTAAATGCAGAACTTCTGCCTACAATGTAGCCCCAAATTTAGCCTCAACTCACCTCTCCAAGGCTCCCAAAATCCTCAATGAGGGAAATGAGGGAGGCATCCATGTAGCTCTGCATGGTCTCCAGTAGTGTCTCATCCTGCAGTATCAGATCCTCCATTTCCAGATCTTTCTCCCTCAGAGACGGGCCCAGCCTTGACAGATTGACAAAGCCAGAATCACCCCCCTCATCATGCAGCAATACCTGGGGCAAAAAAGGAAAAGGTCAAAAAAGGTTCCTATAGAATGAAGCTAATTGATAGATATGCTCCATAAACCAGATACTCAAACCCTAACCACTAACAACAAATAAATCCAAACTTAGCCACCATCACTAAACCTCTGGGCTAGCCAGGCAGCAATAAGTACAACCCAAGAGCAAAAAGTCTTAAGTAAAAGCCAGGCAATGGTAGCTCACGCCTGTAATCCTAGCTGAGATGTGAGGATCAAGGTTCAAGGCCAGCCCAGGCAGGAACATCAGTGAGACTCTTTATTTCCAATTTACCACCAGAAAACCAGATGTGGTTTTGTGGCTCAAGTAATAGAGCGCTAGCTTTGAGCTGAAGAGCTATGGGACAGGGCTCAGGTCCAGAGTTCAAGTCCTACAACCGGGAGGAAAAAAAAACTCCTAACCAACACGGCATTCTGCGCAAGAGTTTAATTTCCATTCACAAACAGATAGAACCAAAGGAGATTATGAAACTGGGGAGAAAAAAAATAAACATGATAAAGACCAAAACTAGCTGGACACCCAGTGGCTCACACCTGTAATCCTAGCTACTCAGGAGGCTGAGATCTGAGGATCAAGGTTCAAAGCCTGCCAGGGCAGGAAAGTCTGTGAGACTCTTATCTCAGAAAACCGGAAGTGGCGCAGTGGTAAAGTATTAGCCTTGGGCTGAAGGACAGCATTCAGGCCCAGAGTTCAAGTCTTATGACTGACAAAAAAAAAAAAAGACCAAAACTAGCTCAAGTATGGTAGCACATAACTATATTACCAGGAGCCTTAAGACTCAAGGCCAGCCTGGGCTGCACACAGCAAGGTCCTATCTCAAAAATAAATTTTAAATTATTACTCAGAAGCCGGGCGCTGGTGGCTGACGCCTATAATCCTAACTACTCAGGAGGCTGAGATCTGAGGATTGGGGTTCAAAGCCAGCCCGGGCAGGAGAGACCATGAGACTCCTATCTCCAATAAACCACCAGAAAACTGGAAGTGGCGCTGTAGCTCAAGTGGTAGAGCGCTCGCCTTGAGCTGAAGAGCTGAGAAACAGCACCCAGGCCCAGAGTTCAAGCCCCACGACCGACCAAAAAAAAAAAAAAAAATATTACTCAGAAGACATGTGCTGGCAGTGGAGAGAGGATCTGGCTGAGGGACATATACTAGACAGATAAGCTGCCGAGACAACTCAGCTACCACAACCTGATGACCTAAGTCAAACCTCTCTTAGGTCTCAGTTTGCTATTGAGTTCAAATCCTACCTTCCTCTAGAAGATACCTCAGGCTTTCCCAGACCATGTCGATCTGTCTTCATACCACATCACATTTTTTTGTTCACTTTTCTGACAATCTCATCCTATTCCACTAACCCCATGACATTTTTTTTGCATATCTTCTAAAATTGAATTTCATGTTCCTTCAGGGTAAATAATCCTTTAGATTCTATTAGCTTATATTCTTCCAGACTCCCAAGAGTTTAAATGTGCTTATACTTCTCAATTGCCCTACACACAGTATTCATTCATTTCACACTTTTCTGGTACTGGGGGATTGAACCCAGGACCCTGTTCACTCTGAGCATACTCTATTGAGCTAAATCCCCAATCCCAAGGGAATGGTCCCTTCTCCCACCTCCATCTGGTGAGAGCCAATGAGGAGACTTGATTCTATAGATGGAGAAGCCCCAATTCCTCATTCCTCTGAGAGGTAGCAACATCCTTAGCCTTGTCATGAGGTAGGGCCCACTCAGACTTGTCATAACTATAGGCAGGGGCCAAAAGTGGTATTGGTGAAGCTACAGTCTTGACTATCTCCACTATTAGAAACATGGTCCAAAGGCCTGAGGACAAGATCAAACACAGAAAAGACAGACTCTTCTTCAGCAAGGGGAAATTAAGCACTTCACTTCCTCCAAAAGAAAAAGACCTATTCCCCTCTTCTTCCGAAAAAAGTTGGGGAGTTCTGGAGCCCATGGGGGAAAAAAAACTAGGAACATTTAAGGAGACCAGATCCAGAGATGAAGTGAAAGGCAGCAGGTTTCAAGCACTAACCCCTCCCAAATCTTTACAAGCCTGTAATTACAACCAGAAGTTGAATAGTACTTGGCTCAGCAAATAGACGCAGGTGAGCAAGATGCCTGCAACTAACCCTGCCCTGCCTCCTCCCTACTAGAGCCCCAGCTACTAGCACAGAATCTTAAGACAATGACCAGCTCTACAAATCATTCATCTCCACTCTCAGGAGGTAATGGCAGGCCCCCAGAAAGACACCTTTTCTTATATAAACACCCATCCCTCAAACAGCATACTTCCCAGTTGACCAAAATTACCCAAACAGGACCAGCCATCAGCATACTTCCTAGCTTCAACACCCTCCCAACTGACTTTCCCACATCAATCTTGTTCCTCCAGCCTGGGGTGAAAACTGGCCTGGAGATGTGGCTCAAGCCCCATGAATACCCAACAAAAAAAACAGCCAGAAACTTTTTTTATGTATTAATAATCACTTCCTGAGACCTTTGTAAATATCATCAGTAGCATCTTACTGCACTTAGCATTAAACCCCTTAATGTGGATTACAGGGGTCCTGGTCTTCAGCTTTTTCTCTCCCATTCCTGATATATAGGTCTCTTCGTTCCTCCAATAAGCCATGTTCTTCTCACCCTTCACACCATTGCCTCTGATGAAAGTTTTTTCACACCACATTCAGCTTTCTCAGCTTAAAATGTCATTCCTGGAACGGGTGGGGGGGCGCTAGGGTGAGTGTTAGGGTGAAATTGACTGGAATACATTGTAAACATGTTTGAGAAGGTAACAATGAAATCTCCTGTATAACTAATGTAAGCTTTAAAAAGAAATTAAAATGCTGGGGCACAGGTGGCTCATACTTGTAATCCTAGCTACTCAGAAGGCAGAGATCTGGAGAGCATGGTTGGAAGCCAGCCCTGGCGGGAACCTAATCTCCAATTAACTACAATAAGCCATAAGTGGATCTGTGACTCAAGTGGTAGAACACTAGCCTTGAGCAACAAAGCTGAGGAACAGCACCCATGTCCTGAGTTCAAGTCCCAGGACTAGCACACACCTACAAAAATGTTCCCTCCCATACCCTTCAAAATAGATTACTACTGCTGGCAGTAATCCTAAATACCGTTCACTTTCCTTTTGTTCATGCACAGTATCTACCTGTCTTGACTAAAACCTAAGATCCTAGAGAGTACCAGTGGCTCACACCTGTAATCCTAGCTACTCAGGAGTCTGAGATCTGAGGATTGAGGTTAGAAGCGGGGCAGGAAAAGTCCTTGAGACTCTTATCTCCAATTAACCACCAAAAAATTGGCACTGTGGCTCAACTGGTAGAGCACTAGCCATGAACTGAAGAGCTCAGGGACAGTGCCCAGGCCCAGAGTTCAAGACCCACAACCGGCAAAAAAGTAAATAAAAATAAATCCTAGAGGGCAATGATCATATTATTCTGTGCCTAAACTTATGTATCTCAGTACATAGAAAATATTACTTTGGATCTTGGATCCCTATTGCCTCTGCCCTAAAGGAAAAGCCCACTAGCCCAATCTCTGAAAAGGTAAGAAAGTGATCAATTCCAAATTCATATTCCAGAAACCATTTTCCTCTGAGAAAAAACAAACATAGAATAGCTGTTTGAACATATTACCAGGTAGCATACACACAACCCAACTCCCACCTAGATAGAAAAATGAAGTGAAGAACCCAGCTAAATTGCTTAAGAGAGAAAAGAAACAGTTTAATTCTTGTCCACGGCCAATATGGGTGGGAACTTTTAGAAACGTTTTACTAAAGAGTGGGGCTTTAACACTTTGCAAGTGTGGAGAATTAAAGACCAAGAAAACCGTGACCAAAAGAATTCTCCCTCATCCAATAAATGTTCAACCAATGTTGAAGAGTTCTCAAATTCTTCCAACCTCTCCCATCCCCAGCAAAAAATTCCAGAGAACATTAAATTTAGAACATCCTGGTTTCTGTATCAATTCACAAAAGCAGGCCTTAGCTGCCTCCTCCAAAGAGATGCTAGAGAAAAAAGTGACAGAGGCACCTCTCCTTTTCTTAAGCTTGTCCTAGGATTACGTTGACAACTCCCCACACCCCTGAATCACAAATGAGAAAGAAGGCAGAACGGGAGGCAACCTAAACGCCAGTGCCAGTGAGTCACAACCCACCCCAAGCCGGTCAGGCTCACTCCTCCACAGCCCTACAGACTCAATTCTCCCATCACACCCTGCCATCCATTACAGGGAAGAGACTTCACGAACATCTGGAAAGTCTACCACCCGCTGTCAAAAAGCGATGCAGACCGGGGAAAAAAGTTCAAAGGCTCTGGGCAGCCTTTACCTTCCTTTCTGGCCAGGGGCCCCCAGCACAGGCCAGAGATGGCGGGACCGGCTGAGACACACCCAGTTCCCGGCAGTGCGGCTCCGGCGTGGATAGTAGATGCCCGCCAGCCTGGGCCGGGAGCCACGTGGACACCCCTTTCCCCGCCCCCACGTGGACCCGCGCCCTGCGCCCCCCTCTCCGCCCGGAGCCCAACCCACGTGGGTCTCCCCGCCGCCTCGAGGGGGAGGGGAGACAGACAAGTTCTCCCGGGAAAATCGCTCTGCCCCCCCCAACCCACGTGTTCCGAAAAAGGAACTGCGGCGCTGGGCTGGTGGAGCCCGGAGCGGCATCCTTAGAGAAAGGACCTGGCCTTCGACTCCAATGCCGGGTCCCCGGCCCCCCCAAATGAGGAACACGTTTCCGATGCCCGCTTCGGTCCCGCCGGCTTGCCCAGGCACAGCTGTAGGAATCCTGTCTCTGCCAGCATAGCCCCCCAAAACGGTTGAGGTCTACCCGGTCCAACCTGACTCCCGCGGCCATCAAGCATCGACTCCCAAGTGCTTCCTCCCTTTCCCGTGGCGTCCACGTGTCACCGCCCGGCACACGCCGCTTTGCTGCCAGCCGCGGGCCGCCCGACAACCTCTCACCTGCTCTCCACCGCTGACGGTGCCCGCCGTGCCATACGGTGCTTGGCTCCGACTCCCCCAACCGCTTCCGCGGACTCCGCCGCCGGGGTCAGGGCCGGGGCCCCCAGTCGGGGGCAGCACGACTCCGTCTCTCCGGCCCCGGCGCGCCGCCATCTTGGCCCCTGAACGCCCAGCGCTGCTCTAATCGCAGGCGCCGCCTCGCCCTGCCGATTGTGGGAAGCGAACTACAACTCCCGAAGGACACTGCAAGACTACGAATCCCAGAAGCCCGAGTGACATTCGAGAAGAGAGCCCGAGTGTCGCGCAAGAGATCCTGGGAGTCGTAGTCTCTTAAAGAAAGCCAGGTAGCACACTTTCTAGGCATATTTTAAGTGCTTAATTTTTGTTACACAAGGAGACCAAAATTGAAGAGATCTTAGTAATGAGAAGGACGGTTAGCATTTGTTTATTTTCGTTCATTCATCCAGCTGTTGGAACGCCCTCAGTCTGACGTTCCACCTGCAGTACATTCCATTCACTTCATTTCACAAGGGCCTCTGTTTTGAAACAGTACCCTCTAGTGGACACTTGCAGACCAGCACTAACTTCCACGTAATTCCACACTGCTGGACTTGCTACAAGTTACTCTTGTTCTGGTTTTTGTTTTGTTTTGTCTTTTGCCAGTCCTAGGGCTTGAATTCAAAGCCTGGGCACCGTCCCTGGGCTTCTTTCTATTTGCCCAAAGCTAGCACTCTACCACCTGAGCCACAGCTCCACTTCTGGCTTTTTCTGTTTATGTGGTACTGAGGAATCGAACCCAGGATTTCATGCATACTAGGCAAGCACTCTACCACTAAGCCACATTCCCAGCCTCTCTTGTTCTGTTTTTGTGATAGAGTTTCAATATTCCACTCCATAGACAGGCGCCTGGTACTCACACATGTAAATCCTAGCTATTCACGAGGCTGAGATCAAGTTTCAAACCCAGCCCCGGCAGGAAAGTCTGTAATACTCATCTCTATTCATCACCAAAAAGCCATACATGGAGCTTTGGCTCAAGTAGTAGAGCAGTAACCTTGAGTTCAAGGCCTGATACCTACTTTTAAAAAATAAAAGAAAGCCGGGAGCCAATGGCTCACACCTGTAATCCTAGCTACTCAGGAGGCTGAGATCTGAGGATCGAGGTTCAAAGCCAGCCCTGGCAGGAAAGTCCATGAGACTCTTATCTCCAATAAATCACTAGAAAACCGGAAGTGGTGCTCTGGCTCAAGCGGTAGAACGCTCTCCTTGAGCTGAAGAGCGCAGGACAGCGCCCAAGCCCAGAGTTCAAGCCCAATGACCAACAAAAAAAATAAAATAAACCCACAAAAAGTGTGCTGGAGATGTAATTCAGTGGCAGCCTGCTTGCCCAGCTTGTCACCTGTGAGACTCTAGGTTAATCCCCACCATTTTCAAACATGAAGAAAAACTATGGCTTAGGTGGGGATGGCTCATGCTTGTAATCCTAGCTACTAGGGAGGCTATCTGAGGATCACAGTTTGAAGCCACCTGGGGTAGAAAAGTCCATGAGACTCTTCTGTTTTTTTTTTGGTCAGCCATGAGGCTTGAACTCTGGGTTTGGGCACCGTCCCTGTGCTCTTCAGCTCAAGGAGAGTGCTCTACCGCTTGAGCCATAGTGCCACTTCTGGTTTTCTAGTGGTTTATTGAAGATAAGAGTCTCACAGGCTGGCTTTGAATCGTGATCCTCAGATCTCAGCCTCCTGAGTAGCTAGGATTGCAGGTGTGAGCCACCGGCACCTGTCTTCATGAGATTCTTATATCCAATTAACCACCAAAAAACAAATAGCACTGTGGTTTAAAGTAATAGAGCAGAAAAAGCTCAGGGACAGTGCCTAGGCCCTGAATTTAAGCCCCACAAGCAACTTTAAGAAAAAAAAAATCGCCGGGCGCTGGTGGCTCACGCCTGTAATCCTAGCTACTCAGGAGGCTGAGATCTGAGGATCGAGGTTCAAAGCCAGCCCGGGCAGGAGAGACTGTGAGACTCCTATCTCCAATAAACCACCAGAAAACCGGCAGTGGCGCTGTAGCTCAAGTGGTAGAGCGCTCGCCTTGAGCTGAAGAGCTGAGGGACAGTGCCCAGGCCCAGAGTTCAAGCCCCACGACCGACAAAACAAAAAACAAAAAAAATCTTTTCACCAAGATGGCACCCAAAGCATAGAAGGGAGCTACTGCCCCTCCTGCTTAGCTTTGAAGGATAAGAAGGCATCTACAGCCACAAAAAAGAAGAAGATACGCACTTTACCCATCTTCTGGGGTCCCAAGACACGGCAGCTCCAGACACAGCCCAAATACCCTCTGAAGAGTGCTCCCAGGAGAAACAAGCTTGATCACTATGCTATCATCAAGTTCCCCAGACCACAGAACCAGCCATGAAGAAGACAGAAGACAACCCAGGCACTGATGGCTCACAACTGTTAATCCTAGTTATTCAGGAGACTGAGATCTGAGGATCACAGTTCGAAGCCAGCCTGGGCAGGAAAGTCGTGAGACTTTTTTTTTTTTTTTGGTCAGTCATGGGGCTTGAACTCTGTGCTTGGGCACTGTCCCTGCGCTCTTCAGCTCAAGGTGAGCACCCTACCACTTGAGCCACAGTGCCACTTCTGGTTTTCTAGTGGTTTATTGGAGATAAGAGTCTCTCGGACTTTCCTGCCTGGGTTGGCTTTGAACTGCGATCCTCAGATCTCAGTCTCTTGAGTAGCTAGGATTACAGGCATGAGCCACCAGTGCCAGGCTAGTCGTGAGACTCTTACCTCCAATTAACCATCAGAAAACCAGAAATGGTTATGTGGCTTAAGCGGTAGAGCGCTTTCCTTATACTGAAGAGCTAAGGGACAGCACCCGGGCCCAGAGTTCAAACCCTTTGACCAAGCAAAAAAAAAAAGTCTCGCAGACTTTCTTGCCAGGTCTAGCTTCAAATGATGAGCCTTAGATCTTAGCCTCTTGAGTAGTTAGGATTAGGTGTGAGTCACCAGTGTCCAGCAAGGAGCCAACTTTTTTTTTTGGTCGGTCATGGGGCTTGAACTCTGGGCCAGGGCGCTGTCCCTCAGCTCTTCAGCTCAAGGCAAGCACTCTACCACTTAAGCCATAGTGCTACTTCCAGTTTTCTGGTGTTTTATTGGAGATAAAAGAGTCTCACGGAGTTTTCTTCCCGGACTAGCTTTGAAACACGATCCTCAGGTGTGATAAGCAACAGGCGCCTGGCTTTTTTTTTTTTTTTGGGGGGGGTCAGGTCATGGGGCCTGAACTCTGGGCCTGGGTGCTGCTGTCCCTCAGCTCTTCAGCTCAAGGCTAGCGCTCTACCACTTGAGCCACAGCACCACTTCCGGCTTTTTTCTTATGTGGTGCTGAGGAATCGAACCCAGGGCCTTGAGCATGCAAGGCAAGTGCTCTACCACTGAGCCACCTTCCCAGCCCTGGCTTTTTTCTTTTGCTTATGTGGTGCTGAGGAATTGAACCCAGGGCCTCAGGCATGCAAGGCAAGCGCTCTACCACTGAGCCACCTTTCCAGCCACTGGCTTTTTTTTTTAAAAAATGTTATGTGGTACTAAGGAATTGAACCCAGGGCCTCATGATTGCTAGGAAATACTCTACCAAAAGTCACATTCCCAGCCCCAATTGGAGACTCTTATCTCCAATTAACTACAAAAATCCAGAAGTGGAGGTATGGCTCAAGTGGTAGAGTGCTAGCCTTGAGTAAAAAACCTCATGAAGGTCTGGGAATGCTGCGCATTGGTCCATAGCATGGGAAGGTGGCTCGGTGGTAGAGTGCTTGCCGTGCATGAAGCCCTGAGTTGATTCCTCAGTACCACATTAGCAGAAAAAGTTGGAAATGATGCTGTGGCTAAGCTAGCCTTGAGCTGAAGAGCTGAGGGACAGCATCCAGAGTTCAAGCCCCATGACTGACCAAAAAAAAAACAACAACAACCTTCATGAACAGTGCCCAGGCTCTGAGTTCAAGCCCCAGGACTGGCATCAAAATAGAAGGGGAAAAGGAGGAAGAGGAGGAGGAGGAGGAGGAAGAGGAGGAAGAGAAGGAGAAGAAGCAGAGCCTACCCCTTTTGGAAGATTAGGAATGTACCTCAGGGTTACAGAACTTACCAACTGGGTTTTATCTCCAGTAATGGGAGGAGGAGCTTCCAAAGCTATTTGATCGCTTTAAAATGATTGGTTGAGAGCTGGGCTGGTGGCTCACACCCATAATCCTAGCTACAAAGTAGGCTAAAATCCAAAGATCTCAGATCTTAGGTGAAAGCCAACCTAGGCAGAAAAGTCTGAAACTCCATCTCCAAAATGAGCATAACATTTCAGACTGAGCCCGGGCACCGGTGGCTCAGGCTTATAATCCTAGCTACTCAGGAGGCTGAAATCTGAGGATCACAATTCAAGGCCAGCCCAGGCAGGAACATCCAGGAGACTCTTATTTCCAATAAACCACTAGAAAACCAGAAGTAGTGCTGTGGCTCAAGCTGTAGAGTTCTTGCCTTGAGCTGTAGAGTGCAGGGATAGCACCCAGGCCCAGAGTTCAAGCCCCACAACTGACCAAAAAACAAAACAAAACAAAAAACCAAAATGTCAGACTGGAGGTATGGCTCAAGTAGTAAAACACCAATTGAGCAAACCAACTAAACAAGAATGAACCTGTGTGTTTAAATTAGGCAAAAAAAAAAAAAAAAGGAAAGACAGAAAGAGAAAACAAGAAAAGAAATCTAAGCCAGGCACCAGTGGCTCACACCTGTAATCCTAGCTACTCAGGGGGTTGAGATCTGAGGATTGTGGTTCAAAGCCAGCCCAGGCAGGAAAGTCCATGAGACTTTTATCTCCAATAAAACACCAGAAAACTGGAAGTAGCACTGTAGCTCAAGTGGTAGAGTGCTCACTTTGAGCTGAAGAGCTGAGGTACAGCACCCAGGCCCAGACTTCAAGCCCCAGGAAAGAAGGAAGGAAGGAAAAGAGAGAGAGAAAGAGAAAGAGAGAGAGAGAGAGAGAGAGAGAGAGAGAGAGGGAGAGGGAGAGGGAGAGGGAGAAAGAGATAGCTGATTCAGCAGAAAATGACTGGCAAAAAAAAAAAAAAATTCTCATACTTTCCTGTAATCCCAGCACACTCTTATTTAGGAGGCTG